GAAAAAGCAAGGGAGAGCTGTGCCAACTAGAGAGAGTCTTGTGCACAGAAAGCGGGGCTGGTCTTCAATCAGGATCCTGCTCAACTACCATGTTCTGCCTGCGCTCCCAGCTGCTTACACTTACGTGCTTGCCTAATAAAGTCCATAGCACTCAAGCTGACATTGAACTCCATGCTCATGCTGTTACCTCTTGGTGCCCTCCACATTTACAACTCATTATTCATGTTTTCCACCTACTTTCCCGCAATGTCTCAGAGCATTGCTGGTGAACACTGACATGCACCAGACATTAACTAGAGGCATTGGAGGCTAATCTGCATTTTGCCACTGGAAGAAGGTAATTGCAGTAGTAGTCAGGGATCCATTCAACTTGTTCTCTTTCCTCTGTACTCAAGTTGCATTTAGTACCCAGTTATGAATCCCACTGCTGGGTGATGAAGTTTTAAGAGTTCATGCTCCCCCAACAGGACACCCAGAACACACACTATTGCCACTCAAAACAGGCACAGTGTATATACATGGATAGTTTATAAAATACAACATGACCAGGCCCCATCTGTTTCACTTCTTCATGTGAATAATGACACTTTGACTCAGCAGGAGAAACCCAGGAAATATATTCAAGTAAAACATGTTTTCATTATTTGTTTGGGGTGACTGAATTTGCTTGGTTTTGCTAAAGAATGTTGCTGCTTGTACATTTGAAAACCTTCATTACCATGTTAGAATTCACATAACCATATAGCAGTGTGCTTCTCCATAGATGCAAGGAGAAAGAGACTTCTACACCATCTTTTTATTTTCTTCATCATTGCTTTAATGCATTTTTAAAAAGTTATCTACATTAATTGGGAACAAAGAAACAAAAATAGACATTTCTTTGTTTTTCATAAATAACTAATCTTCATATCTGATAAAAATCTCAAACCAGTATGTTACCTTCCCACAAATAGAATACATACAAATAATTTTTTTCTGAAATAAGGTCAGCAAGTTGAGTGTCTTGAGACTAACATGACCACATACAATTGCTGCTCCACTGACTTCCAGCAACAGAACACGCTCTCATCAAGATGCTCTGGGTTTCCTTTTGTTATTGTTATGAACTCAGAATTACAATAATCATTTTCCAGTAATCATCTATAGATTCAAGTTGATTGTCTACAAAGGAAATATTGCTGGCTTTGACTTCGTGAGTTCTAGATTTGGCATGACAGTGACTACGTGGACAGAATAGGCACTATACATGTATGGAAATCAGAAAAAGTACTAAATGCCCTGGGCTCCATCTACTGACTCGGTATGTGCCTCATTTGGCTCAGTATGAACTCACCTGCACCAAACCCGTATCAAAAGTCACTAAATCTCTCATATATATAATATATATAATATATATTAAGTATATACATACCCACAAAACATACATACTATATATACAATTTGTAACAACACGCTGTGATAGTGTCCTAAAAGAATGTACCACAGATAGACATTATCCTGGCTGAAATAAATGCTGAAATTGTCATCAAGCTGCTAGAAGCTTCTGAGAGTTTTGAGTCAGGTTAGTTACTTACATCCTGCATACCCTTCTTTCATGCCTTGGTGGGGTTTTTTGTTTTTTTTTTCAAACCCATGCTTCCCAACTCAGGCATATTTCTTCCCTAGGATTACTTGATTGGACTTTGGCGACAAGAAAGGGCATGCATGCAGAGGGGGCAGGCAATTCTTAGCCACCGTACCTCACACCTGCCTAGATTTGTGATGTGCTCTGTCCTGCTTGCCACATTTGGTGTTAGAAAGCACTTATTCAAAGCTTTGTCCCGCCTACCCCCCCTGGGTCTTTCTGTGGAGCACAAAAGTGAAAGCAGCTTTCTTCAGCAGGGGTAGCAGTTCATTAAAATATACAACTGCGCTTCCTAGCTCTAGGGTTCCCATTCTGTACTGGAGAGCACAGGTCACAAATGCTGTTATTAAGGTTCTGTGTGTGATCCATGGGTTTTCTCCTGGCAGCCGATGTCAAGATTAGTGTTGCCCTGGCCCAGGAGGGAACAGCCTAATGAATACCAACTTTCCAACAGTGCTGTCGGCACATTATTTAAGCTGGTACATGCGCACAATGACACACAACACATACACATAAGGGCCTGGTCACTGGCAAAAGTCTTGGAAAATATGACAAAGGTTTGTAAGAATAAACCAATAAGGCACCAAGAAAAATAGTTTCCAGCCAATTTAGACAACTTCAAATGTGAGGAGGGAAAAGAATATGAACTTTAAAAACTTCCTACAATCTGGCTGATTCACTGAGATCCCATTGGTTCCTTTACAGTCTTCTAGCTTATTCCCTAACCCAGGAAGTGAGATTCTGATTAAAGTCAACAGTGGGGGGAGGAGGACAGCCCAAAAATTGTATATCTGGGATAAAATTGGGTACCACCCCCCCCCCAACTTTGGGGAAAACGTGGGGGTTATGAAGAGGTTGCTGAACTACTGCACAAGCCTTTATTTTTTTCACGAATATGGAGGGTTTTCATACCAAAAACATAAAGCTGAGGAAAAGAAGTAAAAATAGGATGTGGCTATGAAGAGATTCAGTGTCTCTCTCTTGGGAAAGGGAGGGGAGGAAACGGTACAAGTTAAGGAAGCAGGTGGCTTTTACCGTCAACTCTTGTAGGGAATGGGGGGGGCGGCGAGGAGCAGGGATAAGAACAGACACAAAATCAAGTGCCAACTATTTCCTACATTGTCTCCCCTTGACTTAGTGTCTTTGTTATAACTGCTGTACAGTAAGCGAATCATTCTTACTTCAATGTGGCATGTTGCTAAAATGAAAAAGAAAATAATTTGAAAGGAGGAAAGACTTTTTATCTCCTTTACCCTACGTGTCTCAACTGTACTGTACAACATGCCTGGATTCCTCCAGAAAGAGAGGAGAACCCAAATTAGGCAAATGATTGACACCATATATTCTGGGAAGACACAGTAAATGAAGGAAGAGGTCAAGGTGATCAGAAAGGGTCTTCCTTCATTTGAAAAAACAGGAGAGAAACTGGTGCTCGGACTGGGGTTCTACTGCAAGGTACCTGAATGAATAGAGGTATAATAAAGTTCTTTAGCTATATGTGCTGAGTTTTGTCAAAGCTACTGACATTTTAATTTGGGTTCAGTTAAGTATGTAAGGGCAGTGCATTACCCTTATTATAAATGTGGACAGCCATTGAGTGACTTTAAAAAACTATAGATCTAAGTGTTTCTCCACCAGCTAAGTATTTAAAGTCCCCATTTGTCTATTCAATACCTGTGACATAAAACTGACCTAGACTTAAATTTTAATTTTCCAACTTCCATTCAAATGAAGCAGAAATGCTTAGATTCCAGTTCTTTTCCTAAGTAAGCTTTCCCAAATAATTGTTCATTGTGTTGGTTGTTGTAACTTCCTCTATCTTGTCCCCAGTCCAGGCCACTGGTGTTTGCTGGCCAATGGGAGGCCACCCCCTTCTCAGTAATGGCCTCACTCTTCATAAGTGAATGCTTAAACAGATTAGGAAAGCAAACAGAAGTGTGTGAAAGTGTGTGTGTGTGTGTCCCCAGTGTGTGCTTGTGGGGGGAGGGGCACAAAAAAGGAGGCTTTCCTCTTGGGATAGTGTTACATTGATCCATCCTTGCGAATTTCCAGAAGCATGTTATGGGTCTTGTTTGTCTTGCTGAGAGAACTGTAGTGCTGCTTCCACCAGGCTAAAAATTAGCCCAGAGTCAGGGACACTTGTTTTCCCTCCTTGAGACTAATGTTTGGCCACAGGTAGCCAGGCGCCCTCCCCCCAGTACCAGCACTTCATTCGAGGGTGGGTGTGGTTTCTAATCACAGCTCTCCAGGAGAGGAGGAATAAGAAAAGCAAAAGGACTGTTTAACATGATAAAGGAGGTGGGGTGTGGGGGCAGATAAGAGAAGTGGTGGAAATTTTCTTTAATTGCTGGGAGCTTCTACTTTTGAGTCCCTTGAAAAGGAAGCCCACCTTCGGTGAGGTACTCTAAATCCTTCCAGAGAAGTAACTGGGTTTATGGTCAAGAAAACTGTAGCACAGGTTCTTAAAAAAAAATTTAATTAATAAGGGATGACTGGAACTTATTAAAAGCCTCCCACCCCTCTCCAGCACAAAGCTCACCATCTCGGTCGTCTATACTTCAGATCAACCAATTATGATCACTTAAGTTTCTCACTATGAGAAATGTTTATGCCCCACACCCTAGATGCCTCCTATATTCTACCTCCGTTAGGAATGCGAATGATTAACATACTATGGACTAGAATCTAGGCTTACCCAACCAAGTAAAGGAAGCACATAAAATCAGAGAGCTCCTTTAGCTTGTCTCTTGGGGAGGCCTTAACCACGGGAGGGTAAGGGGTGATACCCGGAACAGGAAGCTGCCATAAAGGAAATTGGACAGTTTTAAACAGGGGTAGGAAAAAAAAAATTGAAAAACACACTCCACACCGTCTCACTCACAGCAGCCCAAACTCTGTTCACATTTTTTTTAAAAAAGACACATGTATAGGAAATAGATTTTCCCAATTTAGATCATGCAGTTCAAAGAAACCTGAACCAAGTGTAACCTCATCGCAATGCCAACTTGAGGATTTGGTAAAGCCCCCAAAGCAAAGGTAAATTTTGTTGCCAAAAATGCAACAGAGTTTTTTTTTCCAAAAAAAAAAATTAAAATACATATAAATTAAAACCAGAGTTCCTCTAAAGAAGGTAGCAAAGGAACGCAAACTAGAACACACAAGACTGAGCTGAGCCCCTTTGAGAAGAACCGGGTCAGGTCCACCCTGGAAACCGTCCCCTTCCCCCTCCCCCTGCTCCTCCCCCTCCACTTCCTCTCCCTCTCTCTCTCTCTCTCTCTCTTTCTCTCTCTCTCCCTCTCTCCCCCCCCAGGAGGGGGCATCAGCACCAAGAAGGTAAACGGAACTGACCTTCGCCAAGCTACCCAACAAAACAACCCCCCCTCCACTTCCAGCACGGGTGCAGGGGCGGGGCCGGGCCTCCGCCTCGGCCTCCTCCTCCTTCTCCTCCTAGACGTGCGACAGGGACACCTGCTTGTGGTACGCGGCGGCGGGGCCCGGCGGCCCGGTCCTGCCAGTGAGCGCGGCGCTGGCCTCCGCGTAGTCCCCGGAGGCCATGGCGCCACCGCTCTTGTGGCCCCGCCGCGGGCGGCAGCAGCAGCGGCTGGTAAAGCGCCGCCAAGACTCCACGGTCTTGCCAGACCAGATCCAGACGCCCGACGTGATGCCCACGACCAGGCACATGAAGTACTTGAGCATGAGCACCCAGTACTCGGGTTTGGCGCGCGGTTGGCCCGCGTCGGAGCCCGGGCACGCGCAGGTGAGGGCCGCCTCCCAGCTCTCCCGGTAGTGCTGTTCGTACAGGTAACAGGCCACCACGATGCTGGCGGGCACCGTGTAGAGCAGCGTGAAGATGCCGATGCGGATCATGAGCTTCTCCAGCTTGTCCGTCTTCGTGCCACCCTGCTTGATGACGCTACGGATGCGGAAGAGAGACACGAAGCCCGCCAAGAGGAAGAGCGTGCCCACCAGCAGGTAGAGCACCAGTGGGCCCAGCACGAAGCCACGCAGCGAGTTCAGGTTCTGGTTGCCCACGTAGCAGATGCCGGCCACCGGGTCCCCGTCCACGGAGCTCAGAGCCAGCGCCGTGATGGACTTGACGCTGGGGATGAGCCAGGCGGCCAGGTGGAAGTACTGCGCGTAGCCCGCGATGGCCTCGTTGCCCCATTTCATGCCGGCCGCCAAGAACCAGGTGAGCGACAGGATGACCCACCAGATGGAGCTGGCCATGCCGAAGAAGTACACCAGCAGGAAGACGACGGTGCACAGCGCCGGGCCCGTGGTCTCGTAGTGGATGTGGCTGTGCTCCCGGCTGCAGGCGACGCTGGCGTGGCCCACGACCAGGCGCACGAGGAACCCCAGGGACACGCACAGGTAGCAGGCCGACAGGAAGATGATGGGGCGCTCGGGGTAGCGGAAGCGTTCCATGTCGATGAGGAAGGTGGCCACCGTGGTGGCGGTGGAGATGAAGCACAGAACGGACCACAGGCCGATCCAGAAGGTGGCGAACGTGCGCTCGTCCGGGCTGAAGGACGGCTGGTAGCAGGGCACCGCGCAGTTGGGCACCTGGCCCGTCCACACCTTGTTGTAGAGCGGGTGCGACTCCTTCAGGATGGGCACGAAGGGCTCCCGGCACGTGCACACCGAGGGGCCTCCGCTGGCGCACTCGCCCCCGGAGGATGGGGCGCCTGGGGCGCCCGGGAGGGTGGGCTTGGCCGGGAAGGACCTGGGGGGCGCCGTGGTGGCCTCGCTGCGGTTGTAATCCATGCACAGGACCTCGGCGTCGCGGCCCAGCACGGGGAGGCGGTCACAGCTCATGCGCTCGGGCCAGGCGAAGCCGTACTGGCGCATGAGCGGCGAGCAGCCGGCCTTGGCGCGCTCGCACACCGAGCGGCAGGGCGGCAGCGGCTTGTGGTAGTCCGGGAGGCAGATGGGCGTGTACATGGAGCACAGGAAGAAGCGCAGGTCGGGCGAGCAATGGATCTCCACCAGCGGCCAGAACTGGTGCACTTCCAGGCCGGCTTCGTCCTGCGTGTCGTGGTTGAACTGGTTGGGCATGTGCGTCAGGTTGTAGCCAATGCCCCGGCACATGGGCACCGTGATTTCCTGGCACACAGGGGCCTTGGAGGCGGCCGCCGCCCGACCCGCCAGCTGTGTCAGGAGCAGCAGCAGCAGCGAAGGCGGCGCGCACGGGTCAGGCCGAGCCATCGCCCCCCTCCCTCCCCTCGTCTCGAGCAGCCCGCGAGGGGCCGACACAGGCCGAGGAATCCGGGACCCGGGCTGTCCTCTCCGCACACTTGGATGTCGACGCCGGGGCTGGCAACCTGTTGGTTTCTTTTTCTCTTAAAGAAATCCGTCCAGCGCTAAAACTGCTTTCGGGAAGGCGCTGTCTCCACTCGGGTCCTCCGGGGGGGGGAGAAGAGACTGGCGAGGGCTCCGATCCCGAGCAAAGGAGTCTTTTTAACAAGACAAAATCGGGGAGACAAATCACAACCACCCCTCGCAGAGGGGAGAGTCAACAGCCTGGTCCCCGCCAGGAGTTTCCAATCTCTCAGGGAACCTCTCTCTTCTCCTCCCCTTTCCCCGCGGGACCCGGACTTCTGACTCCCCACACCCTCCTTCCCAGGACAGGCCCTCGGGGCTGCGTCTCCGGACTGGGCGCTCTGCCCCAGGAAAGGGGCCGAGGAAGCGGGCGGGCGCGGGCTCTCACCTCTGCGGGTCCCGCTGGGGGACAGAGGTCCGCAGCCAACCTGGATCGTCCGTCCTCCGAGCCACCCGGCTCCGAAACGCCACTCCGAGTCGGGCCGGCGCTGGGAAAGTTTAGCACAAGGCCGGGTACGGGTGGCGGCGACACATGGCAGCAGGTGGGGGCGTCTCAGGGAGCAGGGCGCCCCCGGAATGCGATCGGCGTAGGCCGGTCACTCGCCTTCTCTTCCTCCGGATCGCCCCGCATGATCCGGGCGGAGCGGGGCAGGGGCAGGCCGGGCGTTCCACCCGGGACCGGGAGCAGAACGAAGAGCGAGCGCGCCTTGGCAGTACCTGGGCGGGAGAAAGGCGAGGCGCGGCGGCCCGGGGACCCCGCTGCCTTACAGCACCGCGAGCCGCCGGCGCTGGCCCGGCCGGGACTGCATGGTGAGCGCCCGCCGCCGCGTCCCGCCCGCCGCTCGCCCGCTCCCCTGCAGGGGGCTCCGCGCTCCGGCGGACTCCGGGGGGCGGTGGCGGCGCTCTCCGGACGCACCCGGCTCGGCTCCTCCCCCCGCCCCGCGCTGGCGCACCCTCTCGCCCACCTCCTTGGGGCACGGAGCAGCGGGCGGCAGCGGCTGAGTCTCGGCCGCAGGCTGACTGCCCTCTCCCGCCGCGCCCGGGTCACCTGCCTCTAATGCCCGCCGGGAGGCCCCGCCCCCGGCCCGCCCCCCTCGGGCCCGGGCTCCTGTTGCGGGCCGCCCCACCAAGCTCTCCTTGGGTCCCCGCCCACTGCCCCGCGGGCTCCTCCAGCCCCCCGCCCCTTCGCGCCCTGTGGCCCCGCCCGGGGCGGGCAACGGTAGAGTGTTGGCCAATAGTGGGCCTGGAAATGATGGGGGCGGGGAGAATGCTAATCACCTCTGCCTTGAGAACCCGGGCGGGAAACCCGAGCAAGAAGTCCCTCCGGAGTTCTCCGCGGGCGCCCGCCGCACCGAGCGGACTCCCGCGCCCGTGAAGGTCAAGCTTCTGGAGCTCTGCTCCAGGTCTCTCCTCTCCGCGAGCTCGGCTTCTTTGCAGAGCCCGGCGCTTGTGTGGAAGAACTACCTCAAGAAGTACTGTTCGCTGTGACACCTGTCTCTAGTCTGCGCTGTCGTGGGTTGGGTGAAAGAAAACCCAACGCTTAAGGAGCCCCTCCCGCGTTGTTCGTTTGCCTCTTCCTATAGACTTGGAATCCTGGCAGTTCTAGGGTGCGAGAGCTCTTTACCGGCTTGGCACGGTGACCCGGGCAACTGAGCTAAAGCTAAAGCGAGCACCTGGCCATCTCGTGCACCGCCCTATGCTGGAACCCAGGGAGCTGGGCAGTGGCACGCACCATCATCTTCCCCATCCCGCTCCCCACGCCCTGGCTGTTTTCCAGCTTTGATCTTATACATCGCCTAGAAACATCTTACTGTTGGGACCAGAAAGCCCTTTTCTGATCTGGGAAGATGTCAGTCCTTTTCAGTCGAGGTTTGTGATGATAAAGTCGCAAACTCTGGGTTCTGTACTGGGCAGGGAGCCGGACCCCCGGGGCTGCTCACCACTAAGCTGCGCCCGGGAGCTTCCTGGGGGGCGGGGGGTGCAGGCTGGGGGCTCGGAGGAAGCCCCGGGCCGGGGAAGACCTGCGGGGCACCACGACCCCCGGGACGCGCAGGGGCGCTCTCCAGATGGGTTGTTAGGCTGCAAGTTTTAAATGTCCAACGCGTTCTAATTAGGTTGGAAGACTGAGGTGTTTCGCATACTTGAAATTCATTCACACGCCTAGGAAGAGAGTTTACATAGTACCCCTCTCCCCCAACCTTTTCTCTCGCTGGAGGGGGAAAAAATAGCGAAACAGGCAGAGGGCCTGGGGGACACTTGAAGGACTCAGGACTGCTCTCGGTGGCTCAGATAGGCTGCGAATTGTTGCCGATCTTTTCTGTCCCATTTGTAAAGGCTGGGAGACTAAACTGCAGAAGAGCCATCTCCCTCTTCTGTTATAAGCTCAGCCTCATCACTAATCGCTCCACAGACATTGTAACTCTGAATAAATATGGGAAAATGTACACTGCATCTTTCAGTCTCTGGAATCCTACAGGTGTTCATGTTTTATCTCCTTACTTAGAATGAATTACTTGGCACTTTATGTCTGCAAACCCCATCCCCACCTTACAAGTAGTGAGAGTTGAAAGACGATGACTCTGCCATCTGAAAGAAAGGGAACCCTCGATGGAAAGTATGCACAGCCTGTGAACATGCCAGCAAGGACTGTCTCCGTCTGTGCCCTTGTGCAGCGGTGGAATTGGGGAGGACAAGTGTTGGCTAATAATAAAAATTATTTGAACTTGGAGAATGTTAACAACGCGCACTGGAATTTAGCCAGAATACTTATGTTCTTTCACTTGGTTCTGACTCTAACTCTGTTATCTAATGGTTGCAGACCTGTCTCTTCTTAATCATTAGCCAAATGCTTACTTTTTGCCTGGAGATAATAACAGTAACAATAGAAGAAAATACGGTTAGTTGAGTATAGTGATTCATGCTTGCAATCCCACACTGAGAAAGGGAGGCAGGAAGACCTCAAGTTTGAGGCCAGCTAGATCTACCTAGTGAGACAGTATCAAAGAAAGAGAGAGAAAAATAGAGAGGAAGACAAAATGAAAAAAGGATGGAAAGAAAGGCAAGGAAAGAAGGAAGAAAAAGAAAGAGCAAAATATTGTCAAAATAGACTTGACTTTCATTCCTGCTTTTTTCCCACATATTACTTCAATTTAAAGGTGGTTTTAACTGGAAATATGGTTCAAGTGGTAGTGCCATCCAAACAAACATGAGTATCTCAGTACCACCAAAATGTGAATCAATCAATCAATCAATCATGAATGTAGTTTAAGGCAGCTGTATTGGGCTGCAGGGAAGATGGTGGTCTCCACAGGAGTTAAACTTCCTTGTAATTTTCTCTTATTGGAAGAACTTGAAGAAGGACAAAAAGGAACATGCAAAGGTGCAGTTAGCTGGGGCCTTGACGAGAATGAAGATATGACACTTACAAGGTAGACAGGCATGATTATTGGGCCACCAAAGACAAATTATGAAAGCAGAACACATAGCCTAAAAGTAGAATGTGGGCCTAAATATCCAGAAGCTCCTCATCAGTTAGATTTGTAACAAAAATTCATATGAATGGAATAAACAATTCCAGTGGAAAGGTGGATGCATGGAGCATACCAGTGTTAGCAAAGTTGCAAAATTCATATAGCATCGAAGTTGTACTTCATGAGCTAAGACATCTAAAGATGTCCAAGGAAAATATGAAGCTTCCACAGCCACAGAAGGACAAACATATAATAACTAATTTTAGTGAATCTCAAATTTGTCTTAAATCAACCATCTACTCATATTAATGTCTTGATTAAATATCACAGTGCAAAATACCTACACATTAAGGAAGAGAATTCCAGCTGGTAAACATGACCTGGACACTGGTAAGAGCATATTTAATATATGCACACTCATTATGTTTTCAGATAACAGGAGGAAAAATTTTTGCAGCAGAATTTTTCTTTCTCTTGTTAAGGCAAGTGGTAGAGCATTAGCCTTGAGCTGAAGAGTTGAGGGACAGTGCCTAGGCCCAGAGTTCAGGCCCCACAACCGGACCCCCCCCCCAAAAAAAAACAAACAATCAAAGACGTTTCACTGTAGTATTTCACACAACTATCAATTATTATCTCTATCCCTTTCTTCAGTCTCCTATTATTGAAGTTTTCAATGGGTTTCCGGATATTATTATGATACATACGCAATGCATTTTTAATAGTCTCTCTCTTCTTTTCCCTGTTCCCTCTGGTGTCCTCAAAGTCACAATTACAAGCTTGTTTTCTCTATATATGTATTTATGATCCTGTGTGTATTTATGTATATGCTTATTTTTAGGTCTAGCTTCCATGTGAGAAAATATTTGGTCCTTGTTCTTCTCACACTGGTATATTTTGCTTAACATGATCCATTTATCTGTAAGAAAAACCCCATATTTTCACTTTTCTTTATGGAAGAACAAGAATCCATTGTGTATGTATACCCCATTTTTTTCCCAATCAATCTCTGGGCTGTTTTCATAGCGTGATGATTGTGAATAGTGCTACGGTGAACATGAGCATTTGAGTGCCTCTATTGTACCCTGCCTTACATTCCTTTGGGTATATGCCCACCATGGTATCTCTGGATCATGTGGTACTTCTATTTTTAGTGATTGCACTAGTTTACATTCCCACCAACAGTGCATCCTCACCAGCATTTGTTGTTGTTTGTGTTCTTGACGATAGCCATTCTGACTGGAATAGTTTAAACCTCAAAGTCAAAATGTATCCTGAGTGTTGAGTCATTATTCAGCAAAGTAGAAAACACTAAATGTTTTAAAGATACAACTGTTCTGTGTGCGTATGTGATGATGCCAGGGATCGAACCCAGAGCCTTGTACATCCTAGGCAAACACTCTTAACCATGAGCAATACCCCAGGTACAAGTTTTAAGCTCTTAAAATATCAGCAAACATCTTCCTGGGTTAATTCACTCGCCTAGTCTTACACTGATCCAGCCAC